GCGCGGCTCTTAAACTTCCCGATGGTTGATGTTGGCGGTCGGTATTGAACCATGCACCCCCAGATGCGGAGCATGGAAGTGTCCCCCTTTCTTCCCGTCCATTTCACATGCGGCGAGGAGTTGCCGGTGATTGCAGCAGGTTGACAGCAGGTTGTGCACCCACACGGCGTGGTGCATTGCGTAGGTCCAGTAGATCGGCGGAAGTTTCGCCTGCCGCATTAGCGCTCGCACCTTCGTCATGAGGGTGCGATTCGTGCGTTCAGCTACGCCCTGCTGCTGGTGCGCGTAGGGGAGAGAAACGTGATGCTCGATCCCCTTTTGCGCAAGGTAATCCTGCAGCTCCTTGCTTCTGAACTCCGCCGCACCATCGGACTGCCAGATCTTCAATTTCTCCCCAGATTGCCGCTGCGCGTGCGCCAGCCACATGCGGAATGCTTTGTAGGCTCTGCTGCGTGCTTCCACGTTTACGACCCACACGTGGCGCGTTCCGGCGTCGACGAAGGTGAGCGTGTAAAGCTCGTCGTTGATGCCGCAGTGTTCGACGTTGAGAAAGCCACTGTAAACCTTCTCCAGCTTCGCGTAACGATTAGTTCCTGGCTCGAGCAGGGGGAAGGGCTGGTGACTCAGCGCAGCTTCGGGACAGATGGTGCAGGTGCGCGGGTGAGTTCCGCCTCTTACTTCGGAGAAATCAGGGCGCAACAGTGCGCCAGGTGCGAAGACGCCGGCCTCGATGCAGTTCTTGAGGGTTACGCGCGAGGGGTGACCCAGGCGCTGATGCCAGATGGCATCGTCGGCGCGGAATCCGGAGGTGCGCATGTAGCGCACGAGTGCTTCTGCGGGGTCTTCTTCAGGTGCTTGAGCAGGTGCTCCTTCTGCTTCACCTTCTTCGTTCGCCGTTGTTAACATTAGGGCGAGAAATTCTCTGTCGCGAATGATGGAGTAGGGGATGTTGGTTCCGGGGATCATGCCAAGGACAAGTGTCGGTTCGCGCGGTTCAGGGGCAGGTCCGTAGACAGTACGGCGCGGGGTGAGAGGTTCACTACCCCAGTCAATGGTGTCCCAGGGGTCACTACCTGAAGGGATGTCAGGTGGCGGTGGTCCTAGTGCAAGGCGGCGCGGAGGGCGTCCAAGAGGAACAACAGGAGGTTCGACCTCAGCTTGCGTCGTTTCTTCTTCCGCTTCCCCCCTTTGGTCCTCGCGGAAAGCTCCCCATCTGCTCGTTTCTCCGCCAGATGCTGCGCCCCATCCGCCTATGCCCCAGCCGCCTGTGTCGCCGCCGGTTGCTACTCCCCAGCCGCCCGTGTCGCTTGTTCCCCATCCGCCAGCGCTCCCCCACCCCCCTTCATTGGAGGCGCTTTCCTTGTCGTCCTCCCAGGCAAGTGTTCCGCGCGCCTCAGTGAGGCTCTTCTGCCGGAGCTCTTCGGCTTCTTGTTGCGCCAGTGCCTCTTCTTCCGCCGGCGAGAGTTTCTTCTTCGAATCGCGTCGGTGAGAGTATATCTCTGCCGCCTTTTCCGCTGTGTAGGGACGTGGATTGCCATGTGCATCGAAGGTGCCGACTCCGACGCCGCGGAGCATTCCTTGGAGATGCTGAGATGCGGGTCCAGGGAGGGGATGTTCCGGAGTGCCGAACACGACCCGTGTGGCTGTTTCCAGCTCTAGTTGTGATAGTCCCTCCTCAGGCGGTGCGTCGCGCTCTGCTTCGCGAATTGCGGTGAGGCCGCGGCCGGCGATCGCGCTCGTCGAGGTCGTCGGTGTGTGGCAGTCCCTGCAGACTCCGTCAGGATCGGGGTCGTGCAGCGCCAGCTCGCGCGGGTGTGGGTGGTGTGGCACCCAGGGGCGCCCATCGGGGTGCTTCCAATCGCGGCGAAGGATGTGTTCGAAGCGTAGAGGGACGAGGTCGATTAACTCCTACGAGTCGCCGCTGCAGTCGGGAATGTCGAAGTCGAGAACGTATACGCCGTTCTCGGCGTGCGCCCGTCCGATCTGTTTGCGCGTTTTGTTCGGCATCGTGAAGTGAAGCAGGATGTCGCGCGTCTCGGGGTCGGTGCTGAGAATCACTCCGCAATCCAGGAGTTGCGCCGCCGAGAGTAGATTAAAGCGCAGATTCTGCACAATCAACACGTCGTTAAGTGTGATGTGCGTTCGGCTCCCTCGTGCCTTGAGCACCACGATGCCTTGCGCGCTTGCGCGCAGCCGCGTCTTGTTCGCCACTGTGACGTAAGTGACTTCGGGGGTGGCGACGGCGTTGGATATGTAACGCTCGGAGCCCACCATGTGCTGCCCACAGCAGGTGTTCGACGTACCAGTTGTTGTAGCGCCTGTTATCGTTTCGCGCGAGCAGCGCCAGTCGCGGAGTGACGATGTGCGGAGTGTCAACCTTGAGAAATTGTTCGCGCGCGATCCAGTCGATCGGTGCCGGCCGCATGTCAGGTACGTGCGGAGGGCTCTCAAGCAGCGGGACTGGTAGGTTCCAGTCCTGGTTATCGTCGTCGCTGTAGTCGTGACGCGTGCTGAATGGATTGTTGTTCGGGGACGCCTCGATTGGGTCAGGTGCCGTCTCCGGTGACAGTGAGCGCGCGCGCGGGCGACGAGAGCCGCTTGTCATGGTCATGTTCCCCATGACATCGCGAACGGGGGCAGCTTGTGATGGCTGCTGCTGCTGAGTTGTCGGATTCAAGTTACGCGATGGGGGTTGATACCCCTGGGCGGGACGCGTATCGTTCCTCGCGTCTTGTCGGCCGGACCAAGTGCTCGGATTGGTCTGGCGAGGGCGAGATCGGTGCTTGCATCGATCCGCCAAGTGCCCGAAATTTCTGCAGATCTTGCAGTAGAGGCGCCGTGGCCGTCGCTCTTCCGTGTTGTCCGCGTAGAAGGCGAGACGTTCTCTCTCTCGTCGTGGCGCTGGTCGCTGCTGGTCCATATCCCGTTGTTCGACGAGGAGGGCGGCGCAAAGGGCGGCCTCCGAGATGACCCCCTGCTGTCGGAGCAGCGCCTTGCAGGGCCGCCACTCGGGTCCGAGCCCTTGGAGTACGATGTTTACGAAGATTTCTTCAGAAATCGTACTCCCCAATTTCGCGATTTGATCGCGTAAGCTCCGACAGCGATTCAGATAGCTGTTGGCCTTCTCTCCTGGTGCCATCTTGGTCTCCAGTAGCTGCTGGAGAAGGCGGCTCGACGACACTGAGTCCTTGGGTTGGTACACACCGTTCAGGTGGCGCCAGGCGTTGAGGGCGGGAGCTGGGGAAGTCTTGTATGAGCGAATGCTCAATTGCTCCGTCGGCGACATATTTCGCAGAAGAACCCCGTACGCCATCAGGGACTCGTTGTAGTACTTGGTTTTTGCGTCGCCAGTATCTTCCGTAGGTCCCGAGTAGCTCCCGTCGAAATAATGATAAATCTGCGCGTTTTGCAGCAGCAGCTCCAGCTCGAAGCTCCAGGTATAGAAGTCTCTGCCGTCAAAGCACACACTTCTCTTTATTTTTGATATGCTCAAAAACCTTGATTGCGCAGAGAGAATTGCTTCATCGCTGGGACAGGGAGTTTTGGGTGTTGAGCCGTTTGTGTCAAGAGAGAAGCCTTGCGGGGCGGAGTTCTGGCCGTTCGAGGCCGGTCGAGTGGGTTGGGAAGATGTTCCCGCGTCGCCATTCCGCAATGTTTGGAGCCCTTGCTCCAGGCTCGTGAGTCGCTGAAGCAGTTGTGCGAGGACGACGGAAGGGATTGTCGTCGTGTCCTCGTTTGTCGCAGCTGGATTAGTCTGCGCTTCAGCCGTCAGATTCGTCTGACCTCCAGATCCTCCGGCCATTCTCACACGTGAGCGTGTGCCGGACGCCACTTTCCGTTCGCCGAATATTTCGGTGGTGGCGTTGCGAAGGATTCCTGAGTCGCTCTCATACCATGTTGCGATCAGAAGTTGATCGCCCTCAGGATCACCTCAGGAAGGTTCGCAGAGTTTCTAATCTAGTGGTGGTGGGCCCTTGACCTTAATAGCAGAGTGAATGTAAATGCTTGAGATGAATAAAAACATGCGGTACAAGGAATATAAATATGAGTACAGGGGAATTCGAAACGACCTAGCTAGCCATGTACTCTAAGAGGTACATTCCCTTATTACAGCGAAATCCAACCGTGCGACTCCGGGTGGTTACGGAACTGTTCGTGCAGAATCCTCGCCACTGCTGGTGCCTGATGCTGTCTGCCCGACGGTCCAGATGCTCCTCGTAACCGTCTGTCCCTTCGCATTTCTTCTGCCTTTTCGTCTTCGCTCTCGATAGTGCGTGCTTCGGCTTTGCTACGGTGAGGAGTGCTCAATAGTGTTTTCACTAACCACTATTCGTAACATTTAATACGGGGGGGGGTCTTTTATTATGGGCTGTTTGAGTTAGACCCCCCTTTTGGGGTGAAATCATTATAGGACCCCCCACTTTATTTATATTTTTACATTTTTCGAATAAAAAAAAGTTGTGTGAATACCGAGGCGGCCTGAGACGGTGCAGTGGACGTGGTACATTTCAATCGACCCCCCCTCGAGTGCTACGCCCCAAAGAATGTGGCCAATCAGAATGCCACATTCAGATTCTAGTCTGATAATGCCTGCCTCCTCCTGCCGAAACTGATTCGCGTGGGTATTGAGCGTTTTTTTAACGGAGCAATCACTTCCTGCATGAATGCAATTGATTACATCTGTCTAAACACATACCATGTCTTGAGACCCGGGTCTTATAAATCAATAGATGACCCTAGGGTCTTCTATCCGGGGGATTACGGTATTAGGAACGTCTGAACTGCTGCCACTTGTGCGTCTCTTGGTAATTGAGAGCTACTGGCATGCCAACTGATATGAAAATAAGACCACATAATAGCTGAGCAAGTGTACAACAGAGTTAAGCACATGGTAATAAACTTCATGAAAGCAACTAAATCCTAGTATTATCTTGTCATCAGGGTCATATCCACCAGCAAACGGCGACTGAACTAATGCACCAGCCTTATGAAAGCAGTTATCAAGCATCATCAAACTCACGCTCTTCCTCATCCAGAGGAGTATCATCCAGCGTCGCCTCCTGATACTGCTGGTACTCGGAAACCAGGTCGTTCATGTTGCTCTCTGCTTCCGTGAACTCCATCTCATCCATGCCTTCGCCTGTGTACCAATGCAAGAAGGCCTTCCTCCTGAACATGGCCGTGAACTGCTCACCAACCCTCTTGAACATTTCTTGGATCGAGGTGGAGTTCCCAATAAACGTGGATGACATCTTGAGTCCCGTAGGAGCTACGTCGCACACACTCGACTTCACGTTGTTGGGGATCCACTCCACAAAGTACGAGGAGGTCTTGTTCTGAATATTCAGCATCTGTTCGTCAACCTCCTTCGTGCTGACTTTTCCCCTGAACACTGCTGAAGCAGTCAAGTAGCGACCATGGCGTGGATCTGCAGCGCACATCATGTTCTTCGCATCCCACATCTGCTGAGTGAGCTCAGGAACCGTCAATGACCTGTACTGCTGGGAACCCCGAGAAGTCAGAGGAGCGAATCCAACCATGAAGAAATGCAAACGAGGGAACGGAATCAAGTTGACGGCAAGCTTCCTGAGGTCGGAGTTAAGCTGTCCAGGGAAGCGAAGACAGCACGTGACCCCACTCATGGTCGCAGATATAAGATGATTCAAATCTCCAACTGCAAGAAAAACAGGAAATTCATAAGTACGAAGACGATAAGACGCAAGCACTAACTCAAGGACTTGTGGGCGCAAACTTACAGCTCGGATTAGCCAGCTTCAGAGTTCGGAAGCAGATGTCATAAAGCGCCTCGTTGTCAAGAACCATGCACTCATCCGCATTCTCGACCAGTTGATGGACAGAAAGCGTCGCGTTGTACGGCTCTACAACGGTATCAGAAACCTTCGGCGAAGGGAACACCGAGAAGGTCATCATCATCCTGTCGGGGAACTCTTCACGCATCTTGGAAATTAGGAGGGTTCCCATTCCAGAACCGGTTCCGCCGCCAAGAGAGTGACATATTTGGAAACCTGTAACCATGAAACGAAACTGAATAAGCATCGATCTCTGAGGAAGATAAACATTCAGCATGCTTGAAACAGTCATACCTTGAAGGCAGTCACAGTTCTCGGCCTCCTTTCGAACAACATCGAGAACGGAGTCGATAAGCTCAGCACCTTCCGTGTAGTGGCCTTTAGCCCAATTATTTCCAGCACCACTCTGACCGAAGACAAAATTGTCCGGCCTGAAGATCTTCCCGTAAGGACCAGCGCGAACGCTATCCAAGACACCGGGTTCTAGATCCATAAGGACAGACCGAGGAACATAACGGCCTTCGGATGCTTCATTGAAGTAAACATTGATCCGCTCAAGCTGAAGGGTGGAAGTCCCACGATAATCACCGACTGGATTAATTCCATGTTCTTCACAAATGACTTCCCAGAACTTGGCACCGATCTGATTCCCGCACTGGCCTGCCTGAACGTGGAGAATTTCCCTCATGGTCGTAGTTGTCTCAGCAGAAGTGGATTCAAAACAGAAACAGAAGCAACTGGCTGTCTCAGCTGAACTGGCTTCAAAATGAAGCAAACTGAACGGAAAGGAGATGGCGTTCTCGAAGCTGTTCCCGCTCTCTTTGTAGCCAAAAAGCCCACACCGTGCGACTTGTCAGATCGCGGCCTCGAGATTGGTGCTTCCTGGAGACAGAGAGACGCAAATATCTAGGCACTGTACACTCAAAATAGCCGACCAAGGCGCCAACATAATATGAGCACCCAACAGCTTATATTACTATACAATGTACCCCAAACTCAACTACCTATTCTTCTACCACAATCTGGTATGTATCCTTTCACAGCACCCCAAACGCAACTATTCTTCTAGACATTGTAGCACATCCACCAAATACTTTTTTGCCTAACTTAATCATTCTAGGCATTGTTGCACATTCACCAAAAAACTTTCTGCCTTCATTTCCAACACGATTGTACGCTGCTAATTGCAAACACGAACAATGCCATCCTCGCCTCCGGCAAGGAAGAGGCGAGAGTAGGGAAGCACATCCAACGAGAATATGGGGGTTGACCTAGATGATTGAATGTTGTCAATCACTTGTTGTGCATGGAATGGTAGATTGGTATCCTGATGGGGAAATCCGACAATAATGAACAGCAGGATACATGTTATGGAGAAGGAGGTCACAAGGACAACCTAGAGTAAAAAGAGTATACGGAAACAAATCGTAGGCATGAAAAAACAACAAACGCGGTATCATGACACAAGCGTTACATACAGGAAATCACGAGGATGAAAAAAATACAAAGCTTACCGAATGGGGAGGCGGCCAGCGAACGACAAGCTCATGGCTCGAGAACTTGACACGGGTGCGAGAATTTGCAACCTGCGACAATCCCGAGACATTCGTCACGCCAATATGACTCCCCGCTGCCGTCATCACCACCCGACCCAGCGTCATGCTGGGTGGCATTAAATCCGCGCCAACGCCGCCCAGCCCTCCGCCTGCTCCAGATGTACCTCCCCCAGATGAAGGCGTGAGCATGGTGGGCGTGAGAGCAACCATTGCTGTGATGCCTTGCGTGTGAGCCACCACTCTCTCCACTGCTGCCATGTCAGCAGCTCTGGATTGGCCAAGGAGTTGAAGGGAGGGAAGGGTGGGTAAAGCGGAAGTAGGCTGGGCGGATGAGAAAGGCCTACACATAGTATATGATTGCCGTGAGGTTGAGTGCATTCCTTCCGATACCTACAGGGATATGGTCGAGTCAGGACAACGACAGCAGCTGCTTATAAGGGACTTTGAAGATGTGTACAAAGAGAATGAGAAAGACTTGTGGGTGAGTGCATACCTTCTGATATCCCACAGGGCTATGGTCGAGTCTGTGGATGAGGACAGCAGCTGATACTCGCCACATGGCACGAGCTGGTTGGTTGAGTAGCAAGTGGGGAAAGCGACAAAGACAGGACAGGCGACAGGAAAACATGAAGTAGCAAATGTGTGAGGAGGAAAGGACGACTGTACCGAGAGTGAAATGGAGTAAGACTAAGAGGGGAACAAGCACAAACAGTGCAGAATCGAATCTTGCGAATTTCTGACCACCCAAAACCAGCAGCCACACGACAAGTTCTAGGCGCCTAGAAATTAAACCTGAAGCCATGGCACTCACCCCTGTAACCCTCCCCGAGTGTGCCTTGACCCGTGCCACCACCATCCCCGTCGTCCAATCAAGGAACGCCAGGTGTCCCGAGTGGAAACCCACAGAAACACATTTGGTAGAGACAGGAGAGCGTGTGTTAGCAGAGGAGGAAGAGGAGGAGGGGGAGGAGGAGGAGGGGGAGCGGCGGTGGGATTGGTGGGAGGAGGAGGTGGTGGTGGCAGCAGAGGCGAGGGCAGTGACTGGAGTACAGAAGGGCTCTGATAGACCGCACTGCCAGAGGGAGAGCAGGCGCCCCGCACACATGTCCACGAGGCTGAGGGGTGGAAGTAGGGGGGACAAAGCTTGCTTAGACTAGCATGCACACATGCAGCACACATGCACACCAGATGCGCACCGGATACACACCAGATACGATGCAGCACAGAGCAGAGCAAACCCACCGGATGCAGCCTGTAGAGGTGCCGGCCACAAGCCGGTTCCCCCCTGCTGGCCCCAGGAAGAGCAGCGAGGTGCATCGGCACACAGTCATGGGGCTGCTAACGCTGCGCGCCCTCCCTCCCATGCAGCACACGAGTAACACAAGAAGCACGGGGAACTTACCGGATGCATCCTGTGGACGTGCCGGCCACGAGCCTGTTCCCCCCTGCTGGCCCCAGGAAGAGCAGAGAAGACACGCAAGACACAGGAGAAACACAAGACACACTAGGCACCCACCGGATGCATCCTGTGGACGTGCCGGCCACGAGCCTGTTCCCCCCTGCTGGCCCCAGGAACAGCAGCGAGGTGTATCGGCACACGGTCATGGGGCTGCTAACGCTGCGCGCCCTCCCATGCAGCACACGAAGAGCACAAGAAACATGAATAACCCACCGGATGCAGCCTGTTGACGTGCCGGCCACGAGCCGGTTCCCCCCTGCTGGCCCCAGGAACAGCAGCGAGGTGTATCGGCACACAGTCATGGGGCTGCTAAAGCTACGCCCCCTCCCATGCCTCGGCGTCCCAGGCTTCCCCGAACCTCCCGCCGAGCCGTCTCCCGAGCCTGACCCGGCGAGGTCCGGGAGAGCGGACGAGGAGAGGGAGTGTGGGGAGGGGTGGGATCTGGGAGTGGTTGAGAGGGAGGAGAGGGAGGAGAAGGGATGGTAGGAGAAGAGAGAGGAGGACATGCGAGGGGAGGCGGGGATCCCGCTTGCCACTCCGGCTGTAGCGGCGGCGAAAGAGGAGAAGATCGAGGATGTAGCAGCGGGATCGAGAGAGGAGGTCTGGTCCGGAAGCTGGCCGATAGGCATGGCGAGGCGGGGGGAAGAGGAGAAATACGCGAGGGGGTTTCCTGCTGCACCTGCTGCGGCGGCAGCGGCAGCGGCAGCGGCGGAGAGGGTAGGGGTGGAGGAGGAGTGGTGTGAGTACAGCTGCTGCTGCTCCCGCTGCTGCTGCTGCTGCTGCTGCTGGAGGTGTGCTGCTAGAGACGAAGGCGGCTCTTCAAAGAGAGATAAGAGCTCTCCAGAGGATGAGTCCCATACGTGAATTACTTCGTCGCATGTTGCTACCAACGAGGTGCCTTGTAATGCACACACGGCAAGAGGAACTTCGGTATGGCCTGAGTATTCTAAGGTACAGTCCCCTGACCCCACGTCCCACACCCGCACCCTCTCCCCTCCTCCCCCTCCGCCCCCGCCTCCCCGGCTTCTCCCCACTCGTCCTCCCCCTCCTGCTCTTCCCTCTCTCCCCCCTCCCCCTCCTCCACTCCCCTCTGACAATGACCCTCCCCTCCCTATAGTCACAAATGCCTCTTCATTCTCCAAAACTGCTATTCCCGTAATAGGCCCGTCGTGTGCCGCCCAGGATCTGAGTACAGACAAATTCAGATGCCACCCGGGTTGGGATTCCTCCCTGTCGCGAGCCATCCACGAGCTGCCACCTCCCCCAGAAACAGACGAAACAGCACTCATACTGGCAAGGCTGACTGAACTCCCCCCTGCCCCGCCCCCTCCTCCCCCAAGCCTCCTCCCCACGTCCCACCCCTCCTCATCCGGAGGGGCATCTAAACGTTTTTCGGGCAGCCAGAACCACGGCTCGGGCGGTTCGGGCAGGGAGGAACTTTCCTCTGGGCTGCCCGGGTGCGTCTCGAGCAAAGATTCGGCTGACGTGGCGAGCCGGGATAGGCTGGTGGTTGCAGCAGCGGTGGTGGGGAGACCGCCAGCAGCAGAGGCGCCAGCAGACGAAAGCATGCGGGAATCTTCCGCTGATGAGCTGGCGCTGACTGTACGGGAGTGAGAGGGTGACCTGTTAAGTGTTGGCATGGGAAGGGACCAACCGAATCCGTCTAAGAGCAGAGAAGAGGGGGTGAGAGCCGCTGCTACCATGCCCAGACGCTTAGATAAGTTCCCAGCTTTAGGGGCGAGTTTAGGGGATTCGGATGAAGCAGCAGGGGCTGCTGTAGCCGCTGCAGCTTCAACGTCTGTAGCAGCAGAATCGGTTGCGTCAGCAGCGGCTGTAGCGGCTGTTGCTGCAGTGGTAGGGTAGGAAGGAGGTTTCCTGGCAGCTTCTGGATCAGTAGGAGGGGCAATTGGAGGAGAATTGACAGGAGAGGTCACAGTGTAAATTGCGAATAGCTTCGCTGCTGCTGCTGCTGCCGCTGTTGCTGCTGCTGCCGCTGCTGCTGCTGTTGGTGATACAGGTGCGTCTGCTGCCAGTGAAGCAGGAGAGGCAGCAGAAGAAGGTTCAACGGTGGGAAACCCAAGGTCTGGCTCAGAATTAGTCGAGTCAAGGGAAAGCCCTGACTCGTTGGCCTGAAGGGGCAAGGGGAGTGGGGGGTGGGGCAAGGGATTGGGGGGAATTTCTGAGTTGACTGTTGACTCAACAAGCAGGCTCAGTGGAAGAGGGATTAGCAGTGGTGGTGGTGGTGATGGTAGTGATGGTGGTAGTGGCGGCAATGCCAAGGTCTGGCTCAGTTAGTTGAGTCAAGGGAAAGCCCTGACTCGTTGGCCTGAAGGGGCAAGGGGAGTGGGTGAAGAGGAGTGGGGCAAGGGATTGTGGGAGGTTGACTCGAGAAGAAAGTTCGGTGGTGGCAATCCCAAAGTCTGGATCAAAATGAGAGGTGTCAAGGGAAAGGTCTGACTCGTTGAGGGAGGGGAGGGGGGGATGGGGCAAAGGGGTGTGGAGGGAGGGGAGTGGGGAAAGGGGAGTGGAGTGGGGGGAGGGGAGTGGGGGGAGGGGAGTGGGGGAAGGGGAGTGGGGGAAGGGGAGTGGGACAGGGGATTGGGGAGGATCTGAGGTGACTCGATAGGCAGGCTCAGTGGCACGGGCATTATCAAAAGTGGTGCTGGTAGTGGTGGTGATGGTAAACGCATAACACATACCTCGTCCATAGCAAACATGTCGTACACGCCTGTGAGGACACCAGCCAGCAGCTCCCTACACACTGCAGTCTTGCACACACATGGGTTCAGCATAGACACACACGCCCAACACAAACACACACACATACCTCGTCCATAGCAAACATGTCGTATACGCCTGTGAGGACACCAGCCAGCAGCTCCCTACACACTGCAGTCTTGCACACACATGGGTTCAGCATAGACACACACGCCCAACACAAACACACACACATACCTCGTCCATAGCAAACATGTCGTATACGCCTGTGAGGACACCAGCCAGCAGCTCCCTACACACTGCAGTCTTGCACACACATGGGTTCAGCATAGACACACACGCCCAACACAAACACATAACACATACCTCGTCCATAGCAAACATGTCGTATACGCCTGTGAGGACACCAGCCAGCAGCTCCCTACACACTGCAGTCTTGCACACACATGGGTTCACAGCATAGACACACACGCCCAACACAAACACATAACACATACCTCGTCCATAGCAAACATGTCGTATACGCCTGTGAGGACACCAGCCAGCAGCTCCCGCCTCTCCTCGTCCCCTCCCACATCCAACAACCGTCTTCTCCTCCCCCCTGCCCCCTGCTGCCCTTGCTGTCGCTGCTCCTCACTCATCTTCATGTGTGCTAGCGCTGCTTGTAGCCTTGGCACCAGGTGACGTCTCAAAGCCTTCTCTCCCAACTTGGAAGCTGGGACAGGGAGAGGGAAGAAGAGGGGGAACGGAAGGGAAATGCACAAGTTTCATTTGGAGCAATCCCCCCCTGGTGCTGCTGTCCCTGCTGCTGCTGCTGCTGCCGCTGCTCCTCACTCATCTTCATGTGTGCTAGCGCTGCTTGTAGCCTAGGCACCAGGTGTCGTCTCGAGGCCTTCTCTCCCAACTTGGAAGCTGGGACAGGGAGAGGGAAGAAGAGGGGGAACGGAAGGGAAATGCAAGTTTCATACGGAAATTTTCCCCCCTGGTGCTGCTGCCCCTGCTGCCGTTGCTCCTCACTCATCTTCATGTGAGCTAGAGCTGCCTGTAGCCTCGGCACGAGGTGTCGTCTCGAGGCCCGTTCTCCCAGCTTGGAAGCTGCAAAAGGGGACAAGGGAAGGGCGAGAAAGGAAATACATTCGTTCCTGCCTACACGCTCTCCTCACTCATCTTCATGTGTGCTAGAGCTGCTTGTAGCCTCGGCACCAGGTGGCGTCTCGAGGCCTTTTCTCCCAACTTGGAAGCTGCGAAAGGGGACAAGGGAAGGGCGAGAAGGGAAATGAGTTCTCTCCTGCCTACGTGCTTTATCTACATGCTCTCCTCACTCATCTTCATGTGAGCTAGCGCTGCTTGTAGCCTAGGCACCAGGTGACGTCTCGAGGCCTTTTCTCCCAACTTGGAAGCTGGGGCAGGGGAATGGAAAGGGATGAGCGGAAACAAAGGGAAATTACCCCTGCTGCCTACGTGCCCCCCCTGCTGCCCCTGCACCTGCTGCTGCTGCCATTGCTCCTCACTCAGCCTCCTCTTCATGTTCATGTGAGCTAGAGCAAAGCAAAGCAAAGCAGAGATGACTTTTGAGTCGACTCAAAAGTCAGCCTCCTCTTCGTGTTCATGTGAGCTAGAGCAAAGCAAAGCAAAGGCTACAGCAAAGCAAAGCAAGGCGTACTGATATCAATAGACAGGTCGTGAATGTGGGAGGCATGTCGGGAAGGTCCCATGGTGATGTGAGCTTACAACAAACAAAGAGGTAGCCTTTGAGTGGATGTACAAAGCAAGACGTACCTATATCAAAGAACAGATCGTGCAGGTGGGAGGCGTGTTGCATGCTGCGGCGTGTTGCAGTGGCCCCGCTAAAAGGGTTCCTCACCTCACGAGTGCGCGTTCAAAGCAAGACGTACCTATATCAATAGACAGGTCGTGAATGTGGGAGGCGTATTGCATGGGACCCCTGGCAATGTGAGTGAAAGAGGAGAGACTGTCTAGCAGATAGTGATGGGAAGAGGGGTGGCGCTTGAGTGACCGCAAAGCAGCACGTACCAATTTCAATAAACAGGTCGTGAAGGTGGGAGGCGTGTTGGAGGGGACCCCTGGCAATGTGAGTGAAAGAAGAGAGACTGTCTAGCAGATAGTGATGGGAAGAGGGGTGGCGTTTGAGTGACCACAAAGCAGCACGTACCAATTTCAATAAACAGGTCGTGAAGGTGGGAGGCATGTTGGAGGGGACCCCTGGTGATGTGAGCGATGAGAGGAGCAATGGTCTGGCTGATGGTGATCGGGAGAGGGAGCAGGGCCACCGATTCAATCAGAGCCGTTGATGCCGCATAGCACGGACTGGCTTGAAGCGCAGGAGTCGATCCTGTCCGTACGATCGCGGATCCCGACCGAGGAAGCCCGAGCTTGGACCGAGCCGCCGACGCAGGTCCGGACCGAGGCTGTGCTGCGGATTGGGATCGGTCTAGGCGGGGAACGGGAGCAGCGGAGGAAGAGGACGAGGAGGAGGTGGAGGCTGCAGAAGGGGTGGTGGTGGGGAGGGAGAAGAGAGAGGAGCGAAGCAACGAAGGATGCAGCCGTTCTATATACTCCGGTAACCCTACAGACACAGCAAGCTTATCCCACACCCCTTCATCGAACACAATCTCATTCAACCCCTTTGGTTCATTCGCTTCCACTGCTCGCACTGCCAGCGGAACCAGCAGAGCCACAATCGCCCTCCGGCCGAGACCCCTTGTGGGATGCAGCAAACCGTTCAGAACCACTGTGATGTGGGATTGAACCGCAGGGTCGGAGAGATCCAGGGCTGGTTGCTGTAACAGGGTTACCACCTCGCATGCGCACATCCATAGTGCCACTTCCTCCTCGCGGATCACCCTCCCGTCTCCCCCTTCCTGGTCTCTCAAGCCCTCCATTCGCTCCCGGCTGTTCCGCCCGCTGCTGCTGCTCCGGCCGATCGCGTGCGTCCGCAGCTTCGTCCCCAAGCCTCCCTGCTTGGCTCGGGACGCGGTGAACGCAAGCCGCTGGCTCGGGAACGGGAGGGAGTGCAGCGCAGCGAGGAACGAGTGGGCCGACCGAACGGCAGGACTGAAAAAGGACGAAGCGAGGACTGTAGCAGCGGTCGGGCGGCGGGCGGGGTTGCGGTCTACTAGCCCCCGGATAACCGGTTGCACGGAGCTCGGCAGGTTGTAGAAAGCGGGCGGCAGGCTGCCGACCGTGGCGAAGACGTGTGCTGAGTCCGGGTCGAAAAGCGGGCGGCGGAGGAAAATTTCCGCGATCACGCAGCCGGCCACGAAAATATCTTCCGCCCAACAGGAGCAGGAGGATGAGGAAGAGGACGAGGATGAGGATGGGCCTTGCTTGTCCGTTTCTTCCTCCTCCTGCCCCATATGATGTCTGTTTGCTGTAACCATGGCACCAGCAGCAGCAACACCAGCAGCAGCATTAGCAGACCCAATCCCCCCCCTCCGGTAAACCCTGGGGGAGACAGGAGGCGGGGCAAGGATCTCTGGTGGCGGCCAATAGATGGGTGACAGGTGGCGCGTGGATTCGAGGAATCGGGAGAAGTCCTCTACTTGCTGGAGTGTGCGTGACATTGATAGAGGGGGGCGGGATGAGGGGGAGGGGGAAGGGGAGGGGGAAGGGGAGGGGGGAGGGGGAGGGGGAGGGGGAGCGAGGGGAGGTTAAGGGAAGAGGGGTGGGTGATGTGGGAAGTGTGGATGGTCTGGGAGAGGACAAAGAGGGAGAAGGGAGGCTAGATGGAGTGGTAGCAGACAGGGAGGCAGCAGCAACGGCGGCAGCAGCAGCGGGGGAACCAGCAGGGTTTCGCTGGTCCAAAGCAGTGCTACTCCCTCCTTCCCTTCGATCGCGCCTTCCGCCTCCTCCCAACCCCGTTCCTCCTCTCCCTCCCCCTCTCTCCCACCCTCCCCAATCCCCTCCTCTCCCTCCACTCAACCCTGCTGGTCTAGGGCCCCTCTGGGGGTGAGGATGCACGAACAGCTGGCACCTCCCATGCCCACGTGGCGCCTCCTCATTGGTCGGCGGCGGGACCACGTTCTTGGCAGCCAATGCCGCGTCGCCAGCGAGGCAGTAGCCAAAGGTGAGGTCGATCCAGTGGTGCAGCTCAGAAGAGACAAAATCGCCCTCCAACGCCGCCCGGTGAAGGGCGAGGAAGCGGTGGACACGATCGGATTTGATTTGCAAGATCAGATCGTCGCCGTCCATCATGACTGCAGGTTCTGAAGTCCCAGAAAGATCTCTTTCAAATTTGACTCCTTCTCCCTTTTCTCCTCTCTCCCCTCCTCTCTCTCCTCCTCTCTCTCCATCCACCTCTGCTCCTTCCAAACTGCCCGCAAAATCATCCATCCAATCAGGAGGCGCCAGGTCGGGCAGCCCCTCATGCTGCGACCGAAACAGGGCAGGGTCGAAAAAAAACTCGGGCAGCGTCTCATCAGGAGTCCACCTATACATTCTCTCCATCGTACTAGGATACTCTTTAGGCTCAAAGACCGTTCTCACCACCCTCCTTAATATCCACAGAGGTAGTTTTCTAGCCGAGTACATGCATACTGCCACGTCAGACACACACTCTTCTGCCACGTGGTGTGGGACTTCGGAGGAGGAGTAGGTGAAATCGAGCTGCTCGTCGCCTTTTACCGCCCGCCACTTAGTTAAGCGCAGGTTCCGCCAGCCTCGGAGTGCAGCTGTGGAGGAGGAGGAAGAAGAGAAGGAGATAGCAGTACTGGTAGCGGCAGCAGCAGCAGCGGCAGCAGCAGCAGCAGCAGCGGCAGCAGCAGCAGCAGGAGGAGGAAGAGGAGGAAGGCTTTCGCTGGCTCTATCAGCAGACATAGGATCACTGACAGACAGGTCAGTGGATGGCAAACGAGCAGCAGTATCAACCTTGAGAGCCCCAGAGGGAGCCACAGAAGCCACAGCAACCACTGAGACGTCAGAAGCAGAGGCAGAACGATCGAAAGAACCACCCCCGGTGACACCAACCGGAGCCACGGTGAAATCAATCACCCACGGAATAACCGCGTGAAAGTCCCTGTCCCCACTCCTCCTCCCTGCTATTCTGTTGAGCTCCAGGAGATAATCCAGGTTGCTGATCTCCCATGCCATCCACCTGCCCAGGAGATCCCCGAAAGGAAGGTTCGCGGCAAGTGCACGCTGCGGGGGAGGAAGCTTCCTTGATCGCTCCTCCTGCTCGTCTTCTGTGTCTCCGCCTTCCGGCTTGCCTTCGTCTCCTGTGGCAGTCACCTCCGCGTCTTGCCCCGTCTGCTCTCCTTTCCATTCCTCTCCTCCTTTTCCTCCTCTCCCTTCTTCTCCTCTCTCCTGTCTTCCAACCCCTCTCTTCTTATTACCATCACCAACCCCTCCTGATCCCTCCCCTCTTCCCCCTTTCTCCCCATCCAACCCACCCCAGAAATCCCCACCGAGCATCAACCGCGGCCACAGATTCGCCGAGAGCGCAATATTGGGCGGCACTGCCGCCCCGCAGGAGATCCCCAGGGCATGTGCCGCCGCCACCCCCTGCAAGAATCCAAACGCGACCAGCCGGGCGGCAAACTCGTCTCGTAGCGCCTCGGGGCTGTGCCGAAGCACGCCAGCCAGAGTGAAGGGGACGGAGGGGTAGAGGAAGAAGAGGGTGGTCCCTGATTGGCTGGAAGACTGGGCGGCAGTGGATACGAGCGCCGCTACAGGACAAAAGATGTTGTCCAGAGTGAGTTGGGGGAGGGTGGAGGAGGATGAGGTGGGTTCTAAGAATGAGGATGGAAGGGAGGAGGAGGAGGGTGATAGGAAGGGTAGCAGATCAGACTTTTCCTCGTGCTGCTGGTCCTGCTGCTGCTGCAAATGTGGCTGCTGCTGCTGCTGCGAGTTCTGCTGCTCCTGCTGCGTCTCCTGCGGCTGCTCCTCCTCAGGCACCCAGATTCGAAGGGAGGGGGCTTTGGGAGCCAGGTCACTGGCACCTTCAGCTGCTGCTGCCCCTGCTGCTGCTCCTGCTGCTGCAGTGGCTGTGGCTGTTCGTGTGGAGGGAGTGGGAGCAAGAGGAGGCTTTGAAGACGAGCTCTTCTGTGGCTTCTCTCCCTTCTCTCCCTCACTCGCTTTCTCTCCCTCACTCACTTTCTCTCCCTCACCCGCTTTCTCTCCCTCACTCACTTTCTCTTCCTCAACCTCCTCTCCCTCACTCACTTTCGCTTCCTCACCCACCTTCTCTCCCTCACTGGCCGCTCTCTTACTCTCTCCCTCCGCCCTCCCATTCTTCTCCATCACACCACCTCCACCCACCTCTCCCCCCATCCTGACCTCCCCTCCCTCCTCTCCAGTCTCTTCAGTCTCAGGTGATTTTTCAGGTGCATTCCCAGGTAGTTGATCCGCGAGTTTGTCTCGTCTTGCTTCTGCGCCCCTCACTCCTTCCATCCCCTCTTCTCCTTCCCTCCCCTCCTCTCCCCTCTCCCCACTAGTGCCAAAGGAAAAGCTCCCCCCGTCAGAGTCACTGTGATTAAACTGAGGCCCTTTTTCCGCCTCTATAGGCTCCACAGCCTTCAATATAGTCACACTTTCAATAGGCGTGCTGCCATTCGATACAGTCACATCACTGGTACCCGCTACAAGCCCTTCCCGGACAGATAGAGATGCCACGACAGCAGATAGTGACCTGGCAGAGGCATGTGTCCACGTCAGATTGGGTGCCAGCCTGGCAGCTACAGCCACGGCCCACTCCACATCGCAGCAAGCTTCGGGCCTTCTGCTCTGGTTCGGCAACTGGTTCGGAGATTGGTCTGGCAACTTGCTAGGTATGGCAGTTCTGCCATTACTGCTCCCACTCACTCCGTTTCTTCCTCCTCCCCCGTTGCATCTCCCACCCTCGTTACAGGGGCTGCGGCATCGGCAGTACTGCAGACGTGGCGCCATCTTATTGGCCCTCACCGCAAAGCACCGATTCGCTGCTCCTGCAAGGCTCGTCCACTGCTGCTGTTGCTGCTGCTCCTGCTGCTCCTGCTGCTGCTGCTGCTGCTGTTTCTGGTTACCAGATGTCGCAGGTGGGAGGGCAGGTGGGAGGGCTGTATGGTCGAATTGAACAGAAGGGTCCGAGCCCAGAGAACAGACATACTCAGGGAGGGAGAGGAGAGGGAGGGAGTCAGTGTCTATGGGGGAGGAAGAGGAATCCCCACTTTGTTCCTCAACCGAACCTCTAACTCCCGCACTGTCCTTGGTGGTGCTGGCAATGGAAGAGGAAGGTTCGGAGGCATCAGGTTCGGAGGTGGCAGGTTCGGAGGCGATAGGTTTGGCGGTGGCAGGGTCCGGTTGGGTGGAGGTTTGTAGGGAGGGGAGGGAGGAGGAGAGAGGGAGAGATCCTAGCGTTCCTCCTGCAGCAGAGAAGCTGTGTGGATGCAAGGGTATGAATAAACAAGGCAGGGGAAAAACAGATGACACGGGTTGGGTGGAGCATGGTAGGGAGGGGAGGGAGGAGGAGAGAGGGAGAGATCCCAGCGTTCCGTCTGCAGCAGAGAAGCTGTGTGGATGTGTGATGTGGTGTGATGTTTCACACAAAGCAGGGAGGGAACAGAAGAAATCGTTGAGTTTGATGTTGCAATGTTGCAAAAAAAAACGTTTGGGGAAAAGCGTACATTCATAAGTACGTTGAATTTGGGCGGGACAATGTAATGAAGGGGAAAGGATCGGGAAAAGCAAGCTTCACTCCGGAGATTTATGGCTTGCACTGTGACGTAACCCATCATTGCACCGCTTTGCACCATGCCATGCCCCTTCCCCCAACCACCGCACTGCGCTACGGCATAACACTTTCCCCACCGCACTGCACCGTAACGTACCCCTGGGAGCGGCAGAACCGGCAGCTGGCCCCGTTCTGGCATGTGATTGGCTGCAGCAGGAATTGCTGACTGCGACCAGGTCTGGTTAAGTTGAACACATTGCAAAGGCAAGGGAAAGGTATCAACCGGAATGTGTAATTGTTCAAAACTGAGGCTTCATCGGTGCGAGCTTAGCGTTACAGTTTAGACGCCAAAGAAGAAGAATCTGCTCACCTTACAATGAGAACATAGACTTTAGTGGACGCCACACGACACTCTTTGAGAACTCCCAGAAGTGATCTAAAAGGAATCTGCTCACCTTTCAATGAGAACACAGACTTTGGAGGACGCCACACGATACTCTTTTGAGAAATCCCAAAGGTTCTTGGCCTCCTCTTGAAGGAATCTGCTCACCTTTCAGTGGGGACATAGTCCTTATAAGAAGCCACAATACTCTTTTGAGAACTCCCAACAGTTCTCTTGAAAAGAGTATCCTGTGGCCTCCTCTTGAAGGAATCTGCTCACCTTTCAGTGGGGACATAGTCCTTATAAGAAGCCACAGGCACTCCGCCCTCATCCACCTCTACCTATTAGAGGGAGAGGGATGGGGGACAGGGGCGAGCGGGAGAGGAGGGGGGAGAGGGGAGGGGGCGAGGGATGGGGGAATGGGGAGGGATAGAGGGATGGGAGATAGGAGAGGGGGAGAGAGATGTGGGAAGAGGGGGGGGATTGGGGGAAGGGGAGTGGGGGGGAGAGCGGAGGGGGTAAAGGGGAGGACATTAGGGGAGAGGGTTAGAGGGAGGGAGGGAGTGGAAGGATGAAACGAACAGTTGACACAGTGGGAGAACATAATGCTCTCAACCATCCCTTACCGCCAATTAATGATCTCAACCGCACCTCACACCGGAACCAGCATAATGTATGCATGCGATTCCCCTCTCTTGTTTCGTGCACAAAGTGGAACCTGTGTGGTTCAATCAGAGGTGACTTTTCAGTCGACGCTAACGGACATCTCTTGTCTACTCGGTAACCACCTCTCACCTCGCATACCATCAGCCCGCTGTATGGTAAGGTTGGCCGGCTAGGATCCGTTTCATCACATTTCCTTATTGATCACCGGCTAGAATCTGTCTCATTTTGCAAACTATTATCAGTCCGCCGTGCGGCAACGGCGTGGGGTTAAGAACCTAACAACATTCTTTGCTAAGAATGTTGCCGCTGTGCGGCAACGGCGTGGGATTAATGGACTTTAATCTGTCTCACCTCGCACACTCTTAGTCCGCTGTGCGGCAACGGCGTGGAGTTAAGAACCTAACAACATTCCTTGCTAATACGGGCTATAATCGGTCTCACCTCGCACACTATTAGTCCGCTGTGCGGTAAGGGCGGGCGGCGCCACGAGTGCGGCTCCACGGCGAGCAAATGGGAGACGAACACGTCAGCAGAGAGCTGCTGGCGAATCAGCTCCGACGCCTCGACCAGCGAGAGCGACTGCGATTGGCCCATGCTGACGTGGCACTGCAGATTTTTCAATTTCCCGCCTCAGGTGCTTTCGCACTAGCACCGAAGATCAAGCACCATAATGGAGAGTGGCTGTCAAAATTCTTTACGAATCTCTTGCAAGCGCTTCAAATCGCTGAATCTCCTGGCGGATTAATGCAGAAAATGCGGCTCAATCAAACAAATTCGCGTCTTTTCCGTCGCCTAATCCAGATATTATGTGTGTAGCGTAGAATGTCGAACTAAGCATGTGCCGACGGAAACAAGCGAATTAGAACAGACTGCTATGTATTCCAGACAATGCGGAGGTCAAGCAATGCGGACCATCCAAATAACACAGCAGTGAGCGGGAGCGATGCCTCGTGTCTGACTCTAGGAATTCAAGGATGACCTAGAAACCTCCTCTCACCACAAGATCCCAAATTCCCAATCCATGATGCAAAGCAAACTCATGGCTCCTTGTGAAGGAAGTGCGAGGGAAGCATTGATGGGTGTGGTGGAGACGAGTGGCAGTCTGTCACAGCGCCTACTGTACCTGCCTCCAACTGGTGCACTCGAGGCCAACAGAAACAAGGCCCAGATTCTACCTTGCGGCTGCGAAAGCTTTCGCACGGCTTTTGCGAGAGGGCCGGCGGGTCTCGGGAATCAAGGCGCAGAACAGCGAATTCGGGTGGTGGAGTAGGCTGGTGTGGTCTGGAATACGGTTCGATACAGTGAAGTGGGTTGAGGTGAGAGTGGTTGTGGAAAGAATTTGAGGCGATGTCTCGATAGAGGCCCATTCACTACGCAATAAGGAAAATTGGTTGTATGAAAATATATATACATGATGTATTATTATTATTCAACAGTTTAACATCTGATGCTAATGGATGAGATAGTTGCGCCCGCATTAAAGATTTCCATATTGTTGCCCGTCATGCTCTTTGTAGCGTTGATATATGAGACGGTATTACTTGTTTTTGCGTCCGACCTGTACGCTGTTGCGGAGCACCTCACATAGGCTTAAAACTTCAAATGTCCGCTAGCAAAAAGACAAGCAGATACGGACAAGCTGACGCGACGCGAAATGCCTAGCACGCGAGTACCACTCCAGTGAGGAGCGGAGAACATCGAGTCGCGGTTGAGCATTTCACACATCCCCCCCTCCACACCACACCTTCCACCGGCACGCAGGAATTTCCTCCCGAGCCTCTCGCGCGGCCCGGACGGTGGTTCGGGCTGGGGGGAAGAGGTTGTGCAAGCTCAGTACAAATGCAGCTCCTCTCCTCATTTCCATCCATCCATCATTCGAACAAACGCAACCAGCTTTCAGCTACTACATTTTGACTTCTCTTCAGTCTACCCATTCAGCGTCAGACGCATATTAGTTACTCAACTCTAGATCATTTGACATTTAGAAACAGCGACTCGAGCGTCTCGAACCACCATTTTAGCACCCCTGCTTCCGCATTAATACCTGCTTATAGAAACTATGGCATGCAATTCGAAGATCAAGATTACAGCATCCAGCGAGCTCTCTAGCAGATACACGCTCAATGAGTTTCTAGGTGAGGGTCAGTACGGCACAGTGTGGCGCTGCGAGGAGCGCGCGACGGGCGAGCATTTCGCGCTCAAGTACATCGACCTCACCAAGTGCAGCAGCAGGGCCCGCCTCGCAGCTCTCAGCGAGGTCGAGATCCTCCAAAAGATTTGCGATTCTGGCTTCTCCGATAGTGTCGTATCGCTCAAGGAAGTGTACGGGGACAACGATTCTCTTTATCTTGTAATGGAGCTGTGCACTGGCGGGGATCTTCTCGAGCTCATCCAGAATCAGCCCGGCGCGTATATCAGCGAGGCGGAATCGCGCCTTTGTTCGCGTCCGTGGCGCGCGCCGTGAAGCAGTGCCACGCCAGCAGCATCGTCCACCGCGACATCAAACCCGAAAACATTCTCATCTGCCCGACTTCGAACAGCGTCCCGGCCGCCGCCGCCGCCGCTAACGGCGCGTCGTTCGCGTACACCGCGAAGCTCGCGGATTTCGGGCTCGCTGTGGACGTGCCGTGGTTGCAGCAGATTCGCGGGTATGCCGGCAGCAAGCCGTATGAGGCGCCGGAGGTTATGGCGGGGGTTGCGTACGACGAGTCCGCGGATATCTGGAGCCTCGGAGTGACTCTCTACGCGATGCTTTCGGGAAAGTGGCCGCTATTCAGGGGCGGGAAGCGGGTCCTCGACGAGAAGGTGGATTTCGCATCGGACGACTGGAAGAACGTGTCGGGTGACGCGAAGGATCTCATCCGTCAGATGCTGTGTGTAGATGTGAACGAACGGTTCACGATTGATGAGGTTCTGGCGCATCCGTGGGTTCGCCCTGCAGTCAAGGCAGTAGCTCAGGAAGGAATGGAGACCGTCGATCTGGCCGAGGGACGAACGGCTGCTGTTGTCTCGCAAACCGACGCTTACATCACCTCGGGAATTGTGGAAGCCGATTCCGACACGGCGGGAAGCATGTCTTCCGCGAGCGCAACCAATAGCACTGACAGTGACTGTGGGAGCAACGGGGAGAAGCCTCGCTGGGGCGGAAAGCTATCTCCGCGCACCGTTCTGAACCGCGTCAAGGCGGCCTTCTCCCCACTCACACGCCAGAGGGAGGCGTCGTGCATCCCCATCGAAGTTCTCTGAACAACTTCGTTTATAGGTGATCCTGTACGAGTGTTCTCAGCTTTAGGTGTAGGTTAATGTTAGCTTAGTCATAGGACAACAGGAAGAGTTGCTGTGGTGCCCGGTGATCATAGGGTACGATCCCGAGCACCCTAGCAACTCATTCCTTGCATTGAAATGTTTGTATTATTGATTTCCTTATTACAAACAATGCATCCAGCAAGCAAGTCTGGATTGGAATTGCAAAAAATTCCCAGGCAAACAGGGTTTAAACCCGCGGGCCAAGAAGTTCAACCTTAGGAAGGTTGGTTGGGAGTGAAAACGCTATTGGCCCGAGGTCTTAGAACTCGGAATATCTCAGCGGAAATGGGTCGTGAAGCCTGACGACCCTCTGACGACTTGACGACATGCTGCCCCGGGCAGGAAAAAACTAAAACCCTATCGGATGGCATGCCATCCTAGGGAGGCATCAACCCTAAATTTATGCCTCCCTGTGTTTAGGGTTGATGCCTCCCTGACCGGATGCATGCCCTTCTGGGGTTTATTGTTTTTGCCCGCGGGCAGCGAGCTCCCCCGGGCGGACTCGCTTGTCCGGGAATAATCACAGGCGTTTTTGGGACACCCAACCAGCATTAGGAAGGATGAACCAATTTCGGCCTTCTTGACCCAAGGCTGTTCAGGTCAGATGGAAGCAAGCACGGTTCAATGCATCCAAAAGCGTTGCAGTTTGGCTGCTTACGGTCCAGAGTGGTGCTCCCAACGCATTATCGACGGTGCAGCATTTTCCCATTTCCAGGGTTTGGCAATGTGCTCTTCTCCATCGCGTTGTTACCTCGTTTTATCGCGTGTCACCGTACAGAAACACTCTCCACCTTAGGACGGACGTGACAGAAGAACCGTTGTGCCACGACTCTGCAATCCCATTGGCGTGCCACCATTGACTCTGCAATCTCAGATTTTACTTGTGCTGCGAATGTTCCACTCACCGAAACACACCTGACCTCCGTATAAATCTATTGCACCGCTGTTTACCGTAACCACATCATCTGAACCGCATTCCATCGAACACTCTAGCCAAAAACCGAAGATACCTTTGCCGCTTCTGGCAGTCGGTTGTTGGATTCGGTGCATGGGGACTTCAACGGGCAGCAAACGAGTGCAATACCCCCTAGGTTTTCTTGGCTATGCCTTCCCTAATCCTGCACTATCAAATTCCGTATGCGCCTTAGTGTCGACTCGAGATAATGGCTGTCCACATCGGTATACGTAGCTTAGTACGTATGTGTATCATATAGGGACCGTGGCGTCAGCACAAAAATTCGCGTATTAGGAGCGACAAGCTCGACAAAGAGCTTTATATCGGAGCTGCTTCAATGAGAGCCATCACGAAACGCGGCAGGAGGCTCGGCCCTGAGCCGGACTCGGCGCGCAGTCAGCTATCTCCCGTGCTTGCGTTCCCCTTCCCCTCCCTCTCCTTCTCAATACCTACGTACGGGGATGCTTCTCCGCTAGCCAAGCAGCGTTGTAAGCGAGGCTCCGCGCGCAGTCAGCCGCGCAGCGGCTGGGGGAACGCAGCCTCGCACAGTAACGCGCGCAGTAACGCGCGCAGTTACGCGCGTAGTCGGGCGGTCAATCAGGCGCTATGGTGCCTCGTCGCGTTCCTAGCAGTCGTGTGTCAGCGCGTCGCCCCAGTTGCTGGCGTCATTATCATGATCGCTCCAGACAACGCCACGTACTCGTTTGAAGACGCCGACGCCGCGTTCGGTACGCCCTTCGCTTCCCCCCCTTTCCCCCTCCCCTCTCCTTCCCCCCCCCCCCCCCCCCCCCCTCCCCCTCCCCCCCTCCCCCCTCCCCCCTCCTCCCTCCACCCCCCTTCCCCCCGTTATAAGAACGCATGCGAGTTTGGATATTCCCTCTTTTCGCCACTTATAAGCACACATACGCGTTGGGAAGTTGCTCTGAGTTGACATTTGAGCCGACTCAGAAGTTGCTGGCGTCATCATCATGGTCCCGGACAACGCCACGTACTCGTTTGAAGACGCCGACGCCGCATTCGGTACGCCCTTCGCGTTTCGCCTCTTATAAGCGCACATACGAGTTGGGAAATTTCCGATTTAGACGCCTTACCATCATAAGGTCCCTTGCTCTCTTAGCGACCTGTCTCTTCGTCTGTATGATCGCCTTTCCCCCACCGTCCCCGCCCCCCGTTCCGCTTTCCAAGGTGACTTTCCGCTTTCCAAGGCGACTCAAAAGTCGTCTGTATGATCGCCTTTCCCCCACCGTCCCCGCCCCCCGTTCCGCTTTCCGCCTTAAGCGTTATGTTTTCCGCCGCGAGCGTTCCGCGCGGTTTGTGCGCGGGGTGCTCCGCCACGCCGTTCTCTGTAGCGGCTCTGAGGAGCTTTTGAGTCGCTCCTCCTCAGCAGTGTTGGGGAACTTATATATTTTATTAAAAATACACTCAAATCAACCACGCCTGATTTTGTTTGCGCCCCCAATCCCCCTCCCGAATCCCTGTCCCCTTCCTCTTCTCGTTCTGCTCTCCGTTCCCCTTCCCCTTTGCGCCGGTCTCAAGCCCTTCATTTCTCGTGAGGAGTTTTTCTCCTGACTCACTATCCGCCTCCCATTCCCCTTCCCCTTCCGCCTCCCCCTTCCTCTTCCCCTTCCCCTGCCGCCCCCCCTTCCCTTTCCCCTTCCGCCTCCCCCTTCCTCTTCCCCTTCCCCTGCCCCCGCCCCCTTCCTTTCCCTTTCCGCCTCCCCCTTCCCCGTCCCCTTCCCCTGCCGCCTCCCCTTTCCCTCCCCCTTCCGCCTGCCGCCCCCCTTTCCCCTTGCGCCCCCCCTTCCCCTTGCGCCCCCCCTTCCCCTTGCGCCCCCCCTTCCCCTTGTGCCCCCCCTTCCCCTTGCGCCCCGCTTTCCCCTCCCGCCCCGCCTTCCCCTTCCGCCCCGCCTTCCCCCGTCCCCAGGCGGCCTCATCCCCTCGACGGGCATGCGCGGAGTGCTCCGCCGCGCCGTCCCCTACGACGCATGCGAGCCGCTCACGAATTCCGCGGGGGCGGGATCCGCGGAAGGGGAATCCGCGGGGGAATCGGCGGAGGGATTCGCGGAGGCGGAGTTTGTGCTTATAGAGAGGGGCAACTGCCTGTTCGACGTGAAGGCACTTAACGCGCAGCGCGCGGGGTACGCCGCCGCGGTGGTGTACGATAACGAGCCCGGGAAGAGGCTTATAACGAGTACGTGGAGTCGCGTGGGGTGGAGTGGGGTGGGGTGGGGTGGGGTGGGGTTGGGTGGGGTGGGGTTGAAAAGGGTAGGGCGGAGGGGGAATGGCGGAGGGGGAAATGGGAGGGGGATTGGAAGGGGGGGATGGAGGAGGGCAGGGAGGGAGGAGGGCAGCGGCACATGTGAGGTATCGCCATTCCAGCAATTCTCCTCACTCAATCCTCCCCAGCAACTAGCGCCATTCACTCTTCGTCTCTCACTCCCACCTCCTCTCCCACGTGATAAAAGTAGTGTTTTGAGACGTCTCAACGCAATCCTCGTCACTCAATCCTCCTCAGCAACTAGTTTTGAGTCGACTCAAAAGGAGGGCAGTGGCACATGTGGGGTATTGCCATTCCAGCAATTCTCCTCACTCAATCTTCCCCAGCAACTAGCGCCATTCACTCTTCATCTCTCTCCCCACCCCTCTCCCAGTGTCAGGGCGGCACATGTGGGGCATCGCCATCCCAGCAGTTCTGCTTTAAGAGGTCCCAGACGTCACTCCCCCACCTCCCTCCCTCACTCCCCACCTCCCTCCCTCACGACCCCCATCTTGACCCATAGTAACATCTCCCAAGACCTTCCAACCCAATCCCACCCCCCTCTCTCCCCGCCTCCCTCCCAGTGTCAGGGCGCCACATGTGGGGAATCGCCATTCCAGCAGTCTTCGTCACTCAATCCTCCGGCCACGCACTTATCAACATCATCAACCGCTTCCCCCTACCCTCCTTCCACCACCCCCCCTCTCTCCGCCCATCCTCTTCCCCTCTCTCCCCCTCCCCCTCCCAGTGTCAGGGCGGCACATGTGGGGAATCGCCATTCCAGCAGTCTTCGTCACTCAATCCTCTGGCCACGCACTTATCAACATCATCAACCGCTTCTCCCTACCTTCCGACTCCTCCCCCTCCTCCTCCGCCTCCTCCTCCCCCTTCTCCCCCTTCCCCTCCCCCTTCTCCCCCTTCTCTCTCCCCTTCTCCTCCCCCGAATCCTCCCCTCCTATCTGCGTTCTCCTCCCCACCTTCGACAATGCGGCCTGGTCTGTTATTACCGCCTCTTTAGTATCCCTTCTCTCACTCTCTATAGTCCTCGCCTCGTTTCTCTTTATAAGACGGCATAGACTGCGGCAGGCTGTAGCAGCTGCCGCTACAGCCATGGGCGCGGGCGGCGCCGGTCGGCTGCTAGCGGCGCGTCAGGAGCCGCCCGGGCTGTCAGAGGAGGAGGTGAAGGCGCTTCCAGAATTGGTTTTCCCGCCAAAAGGGAAGCATGCGAGTAGTGTGTCAGTGTTTGGTGGTGGCTGTAGCAGGGTCGGCTGTAGCAGCTGTGGGGGAAAAGGGTTGACGGGGACAGGGGGAGGTGGAAAGGAGGCAGGCGGGATAGGGAAGTCTACGGCTGCAGCAGCATCTGTAGCAGCAGCTGTAGCATCACCAGAGGAAGGAGAAGTAGGGAGGGAAAGAACAGCAGAACGAGCTACAGCTGTAGCATCTGTAGCAGCTGTAGCAGCAGCTGTAGCACCGGAGCAAGGGGAGGAAAGCAGGCCACTGCTACCCAGTGGGTGTGTGGCTGTGTCAGTTGCAGATGGAAGCGAGGATGGTGATAGTAGCAGCTGTGATAGTATCGGTGGTGATACTAGTGGTGGTGATTTTATCAGCAATGGTACGACTACCGCTGCTGGTGCTGGTGGTGCTGGTGGTGCTGGTGGTGCTGGTGCTGCAAGGGGAGCAGAGGGAGGAGGGGGGGGCGAGGGAGGAGAGGGAGAAGAGGGGACAGAGGGAGCAGTGGAAACGGGGGGAGGAGAGGGCGGGGAGGGAGGAGAGGGAGGAGAGGGAGGGGGAAGAGAGATGGAGACGTGTGCAATTTGCCTGGAGGATTATGAGTGGGGGGATAGGCTGCGGATTCTGCCCTGCTCTCATGGTGAGTCAGTGAGGGGGGTAGGTAGGTTGCAGGGAGGGTAGCAGGCAGGGGGCAGGGGGGAGATGGAAACGTGTGCGATTTGCCTGGAGGACTATGAGTGGGGGGATAGGCTGCGCCTGCTGCCCTGTTCGCATGGTGAGTGACTGGGATGCGTGGTCTTTTCTCTTTTCTCGCATGGTAAGTTGGCCTCGTTCCCACTTCTAGCACAGAGTTCCATGTTGACTGCGTTGACTGCGTTGACCACTGGTTGACCACTCACAGTTCCCCATCTGCCTCCTCGTTTTGAATGCACAAGTATGTGTGTCTGTCCCTCCTGTCCCCGTTTTTTGCTCTACCTACTTCCACCTGCAGAGTTCCATGTTGACTGCGTTGACTGCGTTGACTGCGTTGACCACTGGTTGACCACTCACAGTTCCCCATCTGGCTCTTCGTTTTCTAATGCACAAGTATCTGTGTCTGTGCCTCCTGTTCCTGTTTTTTGCTACCTACTTCCACCTTCAGAGTTCCACGTTGACTGCGTTGACCAGTGGTTGACCACTCGTCGCCCGTTCTGCCCGGTCTGCAAGCGAGACGCACACCCCCCCACCCACCTCTCCCCTTCCTCCCCTCCTCTCGCCTCCACCTCCTCCTCCTCCACCACCGCTTCCGCTGCTTTAGCTTCCTCTTCCTCTGTCGCTGCTTCGACTGCTCTCTTCGTCTCCTCTCTGCTCTACCCTCTCATCCGCTCCTTCTCTCCCCTCCCATCCCTGCCCACCGCATCCAACTCCACTAATACCGCACCCAACCCCTCAAATTCCGCATCTGGAAGCAGCAGGAGAACCAGACCTTCCCGATCCTCCTCCTCCTCTTCTTCCACCTCCTCATCCTCCTCCTCCCTCTCCTCTCCATCTCCCCACTCTCCCACAAACCCCATCACCGCACTCCACCCTCCCGGACTCTCTCTCTCCTCCTTCCCCCCCTCAGCCACCCCACCCACCTCCATCCCCACTCTCCCCTCCTCCCACTTCCCCACTCCCCGGTTCATCGCAGCTTCAACCGCCTCCTCCTCCTCCCTTTCCCCTCCTGACCCGTCCCGCGAACCCTTTTTGCTGCATCACCCTTCGAGGGACTCAGATGATGAAGAGACGGGGGAGATTAGACCGGTTCCCATGCCAGGGTTTACCCCGCCGTCGCCTCTACCCTCTCATTTGCAGGTCACAGATTGAGTGGTACCCTTTTTTTTGTGTTCTCCACTTTTGGGGCGTTGTTTACTGGAATCAAATGCTAAAATGCTGCCATCCCTTTCTAAAAACCTTGGGGCAAGGAAAGGACACAAACCTATGTTGCATGCATGTGGGCATGGTAGCCATATGGTGTTATCAGTTCTGGTGAATCACCCTGGCAAAGTTCGTTACAGCCTTTGATTTCAGGGCGATTCCGGGCTGGGGCTCATAAAAATAATACCGTATGTAGAATAATATGTTGCATACAACTGTACAGAGCTCTACAACTGAACTTATGTACCATCTAAAGGTTATGATCAAACATATTGTACCGACTAGTGGGATGTAGCACACTACTACTGTGCTGCTTTACTGGGAGGGAGGCCTATCAAGCATTTTGCTGACCGCTTAATTCACAGGAGCTGCTGCAATCAGTGAAGGGGAAAGGGACTCAGGTTGAAACAGGTAGGAGAGTTAACAGGAGGTGGAAGCTGATGGGACAGTGGCGGTTGGGATTGGGGGATGAGAAAGTAAGAGAGGGGCGTGAGGAGGACGGAGGGAGAAGGATGAAGAGGGAAGAGGAAGGAGGGTGGAGGGAAGAGGAGGAGGATGAGAGGAGGAAGGTGGAGGGAAGGGGGCAAGAGGGGGAAGATGGATGGAGGGAGGAGGAAGGACAAAGGAGGGAGTTGCACATTTGCCCAAACCAGAGAGGCCGAGGGAAGATGGGCAATTGGGCAACTCTCCCTGTATGCCGATTGTGGTGCCGGTTGAGACGTCCGAGTGTTGTACCGAAACAAAGGAATCGTTTTCCGAAGTTGCATGGTAAGCGTGTCGCAAAGAATCATTGAGAGTGGGCTGTTGTCGCGAGCTCCGCCGCCCGTTTACGCTGCGATTGGGCGGCTCTGCCTGGCTCCTGCCGCCCCATCAACCGACCGCGAGAGGCAGACAGCTGTCGGCGCCACACGGGACGATCCCCGCCGCCCGGCGCGCATCTTGAAAGCCAGGCACGTGGGGACCACGTTCTTCAGTGCGGCTGCCGCCTGCTTGGGGCTGCTGAAGTAGTTTCCACGAGGAGAGTTTTTTTTCGGGCTGACCGGGGCTTCTGGAGCTTCGGGAACAGAAATCTCCAGCTTCTTGGATGCAGGTTTGGAGAAATTAGGCTCGGGAAAGTCAGGTTGGGGGAACTTGATGTCAGGAATTGCAACAAGCGCGGAAATCGCGGCGGGGAACGCGGCGGAGATTTCATCAGCATGGGTGAAGCGGCGGGAGGGAGGAGGCGGAGGGGGAGCCAGCCACGTGTCAGCGAGTACTTGGTCGATTGTGGGCCGCATGAGGGGGTCCACAGCGAGCATCCAACGGATGAGATTCTTCGCGTCGTCCGAGATCGACGACCAGCAGGGCGCCTCCCAATCCGCGATATCGTCGAGCTCTCTAACGTTATTACGGAACAGAGGCCATGTTCCCGAAAGCATCGCGTACAATAACACGCCGAGGCTCCAGATATCAGCGGATTCATCGTACGGCTCTAAAGCCATCACTTCAGGCGCCTCGTACGGGTAGCTTCCAGCGTAGCCAATCACCTGCTGCCAGCGAGGCACCTCCACCGACAGCCCGAAATCTGTGAGTTTCGCGACGTGTTGCGGGTTACCCGCAACAGAGGACGACTGCGAAATGTTGTGCGAAAAAGAATCCGGGGCTGCGACTCCAGGAGCAGTTTTTTTCGGGCAGAGGAGGACGTTTTCGGGCTTGATGTCGCGGTGAACAATGCTGTTATCGTGACACTCTTTAACGGCGCGAGCCACCGACGCGAAAATATCTCGGGACTCCGCTTCGCTAAGCATCCCTTCATGCTAAAAGGTCCCCTCCGGTCCCGAGCTCCATGAGCATGTATAACGAGTCTCTGTCCGCGTACACCGCTTCCAATCCAATTATATGTCCGCAGCCCTTTCCGCGAAGCTTCGCCATGATTTCGATCTCCCGCCGCGCCGCGGCGTGCGCGTTCTCCCCGCACACGGCGCGCGAAACGCGCTTGCATGCGAACTCGCGCGCGGAGCGGCGGTCGACGAGGCGCCAGACGACGCCGTACTGCCCCTTGCCGAGCACGTCGACGGCGGTGAAGTTCGCGCGAAGCGCGGCGGTGGGGAGGAGTTCGATGCGGTGCTGATGGTGATGGTGCGAGGATGCTGAAGTTGACCGATGCTCCATGATTGTATACGCCTGGTAATAACAAGATTTTATTTGTGGCAGCAAGAACTCTCCTATGAAGGACTCGCGGCTGAGTAGAAAGAAAACGATTAATCCGTAATTATTTTCGCTGAGCTTGGACAGAGCAGAGTGGCTAGAGCGAAGTCAGAAGTCTTGGAAGACGAGTTCGGACAACTGGAGCCACGGCGATTCACGAGTCTGATGAACCTTGAATTGGATGCTAACACTAAATAGTGCTGCTGGGTCAGGATGTGAGCGACTTGAATGTTCAAAACCAGTGGGGTACGCGATGGGTGACGTACGACGACTGGTGGAATAACTGTGACGCGATATGCGGAGGCGGAGGGGGCGCGGATTTCTGGCAATGTAGAATGGAATTCTTTCTGGTTTGGGGCGTGCATTGCACCGTATCGGACCGCAGCGCAGCGCAGCTAGCATTGCGCGGGTGGTGGTGGTGAAGGTGGGTTTGCTTTGCCAGCTGCACCGCGCTGCACGCGGGCGGGCGGGCAACCGCACTGGCTTGTCGAATTTCTTGGAATGGGGGCGCGGCGTGGAGTTACCGTACCCACTCGTTCTGTTCCGTCAGCACAGCTGCCCAGCCCTACCCCAACCTCGGCGCGGCTTGGCCGAATCGTTCGTTTCGGTAGGCCCCCTTCGTTTGCTCGTTCAGATCGTTCATTCCGCTACAGTATTCGTCTCTGGCGGGTCCTGAAACAGTTTGCCGTGCCCTGAACCCTGCCCGTGTACCCGCAAACAGTTTGCCGCTGAAATACCTGCCCTGGACCATTCCCCCCATCCCCCCCCACCTCGATTCCTCGACTCCTCCTGGAGAACGAAACGCCCACTTCGACATTTCAAACGGGCTGCCTCTGGCCAATGGTATTGTTTCCACTGGGCAGGTGGGGTGCAACGGGTTGGGCTGATGGGAAAAGCTTTCGGATGCATTCAAGTCAGCCACTCGCTGCTCCCAGGGACATTCGGTTGTGTTGTTCAGACTTTGGGGCTGCGGGGAGGAAGTGGCTGTTGCCTTCCCATGATAACGAAATGGTGAGTGTCGGTGCGCAGATTCTTTTTTGTTGCATGATGCTCACGCTCCAGTCAGCACAGCACTGCAAAAACTGGAGAACGAAGCACAGTCAATTACGTTTTGACTGGTACAACTCAGCGACAAAAAGGACGTGTGGACGCGTGGCACGGCAGCTGTGAAACAAACTGCTTGTCACATGGGACTAGACGGGCCGTCGGGAAAACCAGACGGTTGTCGTCATCCGTCAGCCAGAGCTCGTTGGACTTGGGGACCGCCGATGCGACATGACAACTGTCGAGCACACAATCCAGACCGTAGGAGCAGCGGATGACGGGAAACCGCGAGCAGCATTTCAACTCCACACCGCCAAACCGAAAGTCGCCGTCAAGTGCGGAGCATTCCAACTTCACCCAGCTCTGTTCGGTTCAGTCTGGTCGGGTCAGGTCAGAGGTTGGATATTGCCCAGTCACAACACAACTGCAATGGTCGTTCCAACTGGTATCATCTTGTAGCGCATTCCATAACAGATTGTACCGGGAACGGCACGGCAGTTCTTCTCTCTCGTTGGAACATATAGGGCGCTAGGTCACCCCACAAGTATTGTAGTACACTGTATGTAACACAAGATGAAGCAAAGCAACATACATCTGCTAACTACAACTAATTATTTAACACGAAGATGTACCAGGATCAGATGCCATGGTAGCTGCCTGCACACCAGTTATGGCAATCGTGGTAACCAAGTCCCTCACTGTATCGCTATTTGTCACGTCACTGACAGGCCGCCTCAATCCCTGTAGTACAGTCCCCATCGCTACACCTCCCGACGTCCGTTGCTGCTTGTACATATCTGTGCTGCTGTGCATATCGGGGAAAATCAGCACTGTAGCTTTCCCCGCCACGTCCGAGTTATCAAATAAAATAGACCCGCTCCTTCTTTTGTCACCCACTGCAGTGGCATACGGAAGGGGCCCCTCTACTGCTAGGTCGGGCCTTTGCTCCTTCACAATATGTGCTGCCTCCTCTATTCGCTCCGCAAGATGACCTGGCAGGCACAGAGAGGAGATGGAGAAGTGGGGGCGGGGGGGAGGGGAGGGTACAGCAGGGATTGATTAAAGGTCTAATGTGTGAAGACATTACTTCAGTCCAACGGACCAGAAAATATCCAATATTTTGTCCTCCCCACTCCCCCCCCCCCTCCCCCCCTCCCCCCCCCCCTCCCGTTTCCCCCATTTCCCCCTTCAAAACCCCCTCCCCGCCCAGCCTCCCCCAACCCCGCCCAGCCCCCTCCCATGCTCTTGCTTTGAGACCATCCCTGCAACCAATATCCAATATCCCCTCACCTCTAGAAGCACCCTGGTGGTTGGATTGCGAGGACAGCAGAGCGACACGTGGCTCCACGCCAAAGGCTGCCGCCGTGTCAGCCGATGACATGGCGATCATCGCAAGCTCCTCAGCCGTTGGATCGGCAGTGGCAATCCCATTGGTCGGCGCCGAAGCGCCCAGGCTCGGTGCCACAGCGGTGGAGTTTGAGCCAATCAGAGGAAGGGTGTTTTCAGCGCTGTCTCCATATACCAGCACTTTATCCGGGAGACACATGAAAACTACCCCCGAAACCACGGGCATTTCCGGCCGCGTCTTGATCACCCCCCGTACAATCCTCCCGTTCCCGTTCGGCCGAATCCCGCCGACCGCCATCCCGTCCGCCTCTCCCGCAGCAACCATCGCCGAACCAAACGACGCAGGGTCGGAAAGCAGCAGCCGCCGAGCCTCCTCGACGCTCATCGTCACCCCCCGTTCCAACTGCGCCTGGCAAATCAACTCCACGTACCGATCCAGGTCCGGGCTTGCTCCGGGATCGACAATATTAGCTCCGGATAAATCCACGCACTGATTCTTCGCTTGCAAAAGCACCTCCTCGGGATTTCCGAGAAGAGTCAACTTGCAAAGCGATCTCCTCAGAACCTCCCCGGCCGCTTGCACCACCTTCGGCTCGGTCCCCTTAGCCAGGACCACGTGTGATTGAGCCTCCCGGGCCCGGGAGAAAATACCGCACTCGAACACGCGCGGGGTGACGTGTGCGGGATGGGCGGAGGAAGCTTCCTGGAAGAGGATGCGGTGGATAGCGAGCGTGTCGGCGTGTTCTTGAAAGAGGTCCCGGGCGCGGCGGATTTTGGCGGGGGAGGAGGCGTGGAGGGAGGAGTGAGCGTGGGCGATTGAGAGACAGATGACGTGTGGGTCGAGCGGGGAGAGGAGGACAGGGAGCGAGGCAGACAGATGGGTTGACTGCAGGTGAGGGATAGGGGAAAGGGGAAGGGGGAGGGGGGAGGAAGAAGGGGGGGAGGGGGATAGTACGGGAGGGAAAAGGGCGGGAGAGGAAGGGGGTTGAGGGAAGATGAAGAAGGACGGTTGGAGGAAGTGTAGGAGAACTTCCCAAGCGAGGATCAATGAACGAAATAAGAGGTAGAAAATAAATGAAGGATATGAGATTGATATGAAATAATGTAAGGTGGAAAAACAGCTTACCCTAATCATGTGGTCGATGGTGAGAGTCGGTGGCGTACCACCGGATAGGACAACCGCCGCCACCCGCCTTGTCGGCTTTCGCCTGACTGAGCTGCATTGCCCCCAGAAGCACATCCGTGTCACTCGCATGCGTTACAATGCACACTCCGCCCTCGTTACTGCCACTGTACACCCCATTCTCGTTATAGTCACACACGCTCGGAATCTCATCCACCAGCTCATGAAACGGCGCCGTCGCCACCACCGTTTTTGTCACATCCATCTGTGCGACCCGAGGCCCCCTTCCCAGCTGGCGGCTGACGTGGCAACTGCTAGACTCTGACGTGTCATGGCCGCCGCTGACGTGGCGGGATGTAGCGGCTACAGCTGGCGTCATGGAGGGAAAGGTGAAATACTGGCTGCTACTGCCGCTGATGACGCTGCTGCTGCTGCTGCTAATGTTGCTGCTGATGCTCCTCCTGCCCGCCTTTCCAGCAGCAGAGAAGGCAGATTGCGGCCCATATAACACCTCCCCCAGAACAGCCCTCCTCAGTTCCTCTACCGAGAGTGACTGTAACGAGGAATCCTCTGGTATAATCCCGAGCACCGGGATGGGCTGATGCTGATGTTCCTCTGACGGGTGGATGTAGGCCTGGGAGCGCGAGTGGGCTTCGATATAGTCACGCAGGCGCGGCCCCGAGCGCGAGGCGGGGCGGGAGGCGGAGCGGGAGGGGAAGCGGAGGGGATGGACGGAGCCGTGGGCGGAGCGGAGAGCGGAGCGGGGGGGGGGAGGGGGAGCGGGGCCGCATGGCCGCGGAATGCGGGGAGCGGAGGGCGCCGCGAGGGGAGGAGGTACGTTCACCAATAGTAGCGTTACTACCAGTGGTGGTGGTAGAACCACTGATACTGCTACTGCTGGTACTGCTGCTAGTGCTGAAGCTACTAGTTGGCGCGCCGTAGATTAGGGAGCCTGCCACGTGGACGTGCGTGCTCCGTAGGATGCGCGCGTGGTCCAGCATGCTCTGCGCCGCGTCCGCCTCCCAGTCGATCTCTTCCATGGTGAAATTCGGCTGCGCAAGGGGGGAGGGATGGGGGGAGGAATAAGGCGAGGCGGAAAGGGGAAGGGGGGAAGTTAGGATGCGCGCGTGCTCCAGCATGCTCTGCGCCTCGTCCGCCTATTTCCTCCATGCTGAGGAGTCAGGAGGAGGCGGAATGGGGGGAGGGGTGAGGGATGGGAGGCGGAAGGGGGAAACGGGGGACGGTGGGAGTTAGCATGTGCGCCGCGTCCAAGCTCGAGAGCGAACTGGGGAAAAGCAACAGGGGTCTCTAAAGCAAGGAGGCGAAACGCAGGAGGAGAGAACCCGTAAAAAAAAGGGTACGAGAGGGAGTGGAGGAGATGAGAGGACATACGTGGCTCGATTCAGCAGCAACCCGCGCGTCCGTTAACAATATCGCAGGCGCTCCTAACGCGGACGCGATCAGCCCGTTCACGGGCGCCGAGATAGTCCCGTCTTTTAAAGACGTCCCTTCCACCACCATGAAATCGTGCTCGCGTCGGCACCGCTCGTATGACATCAGCACATCGTCAAGTAAGTCGTCCACGCGATTCGCGTGTAGGAGAGTGGTCGCGCGGTCCTGCGTAACGCCGTACATGTCGCGCGCGGGGGGGGATAGGCGGAAGATCTTCCGCATGAGCTCCGCGCGGTTCCCGCCGTGCGTGGTGCAGTCGATCGGGCGGAAGTAGCCAATTCCGGGGGAGAGCGGCTCGAGCGCGTGAATCAAGCCGATGGTAACCGCAGCGGCTTGCACGTTGGAACCTACGCTGCGATTGGATAGAAAACCAAAAGGATAAAACATCTGAGACGAAATTGATTGGAAGAAAATGTGATTTTGTTTTTTGAGCAAGAAAAACGAGGCCGTATTCCCACCAAAAAGTATCAGAAGTTGCCACAAGTGACGGTAGCTTTGCTGTTTTTTCGTGAGAATTTTGGTAATTGTTGTTACTATGGACGCGTACTTGGTGTGATGAAGGTAGATGTTGTCCGCACTGCCAATGCCACTGCTTGCAGCGGCCTTATCGGGCGGCTTATTGGCGCTCTCCACGCCGATGTCGCCGCCAGATGCGGCGGGACCGGCGCTGAAGCGCCTTGCGAACGCCAGTGGCGTGAGCTGCGTGAAATCGAGATCAACGTTGGACGGATACGGGGCTTGTGTGCAAACGAACGGTGCGTTGGAGGCGGTGGTGGGAGCAGCGGCTGCGTCCGGCCGGCATTTTTTCCATACGCTACCCCACCTGCGCGCCGCGACGCCGCCCATTCCGCCGGCAGCGGAAGCGGCGAGCGCGCTGAACGCGCGATTGGCGGCGTGACGCTGAAATTGCTGCGCCGCATGCGCGGCAAATAAGCGCAACATGATGATGCTGGGCGTTCGGAGGAGTCGCGGCGACGACGACGACGGGCGGAACGAAGGAGTCGCGGGCGACGACGACGGGAGGGATCAGGGAGATACGTCTGTTCGTTAGGCGGCTTGTCAATTACGAAATTGAGACGACGGGACGGCGATTGCGTATGACGAAATCTCGAAATTGACGCAGTTGAATGCACGAACGTTAATTTCACGCAGGAATGTGTACCAACACCGTTGATTTTCTACAGGGCTTTCGCTGAGGTGCGGTCGAAATTTTACAGTCACCGCGGTGGCTTTGAGTTTTTACTCATAACTGTGTACACATGAATGCGGAGATACACGGACGTTCTGCTTGAGAAACGCGGCTGGGAGTGACAGAGAAGCGAATTGAGATCTCAATAAATTGGTCCAGAATGTCGAAAGGACGAACCAAATGGCGAGGGAAGTGGGGCGGAAGGAGAGAAGGAGCGGAGAGGCAGTCGAAGCCGCCAGCATTGCAAAGCTCATCTCGAAAGTGCAATGTTCATGTTCCTGTAGTTGGCATGCATGGCGGGGAAGTCGAATGACGGGCATGGTGCTTTGAGATTGCTGGATGGAGGCTGCCTTGGTTTGGCTTGGCTGCCAGCTTTGCGACAACGACGCGCTCCGTGCGACCATCGGGGACGCCTAAAACAAAACGGCTGTTTGTCAGCAATCAGGGCATTTCGAGGGGTGCGAGGAAGGTGGAATAGAAACCATTTCGAGTTAACTGTAGAAACAAGCATGAATGCCCTCGAGTGGTTGGCATCAAGGGGACAGGCTGTTGCTGTTGCGAGAGACTTTTGAATACACTTTGTCAAGCCTCCTTAATCGGGGGGGGCAAAAAAGTCACACGACAAAGTGACCGCCTCGTGATTGCTCATCACATTTCTTTGCCGTGAAGTACGTAGCGAATGAACGTCATTTCCTACCTGCCAATCACG